CGAGCGCGGATTACTTAACACGATGACGACCGAGTCATAACACACATACATACTCTATCCCCCCCCTCTCTCTCTCTCTCTCTCTCTCTCTCTCTCTCTCTCTCTCGCTCTTTTTCTCAGCCAAGCTTGCTTTGCTCTTATCTGTTTTTCACCTCCACGAGATTGCCGGCAAGTTTGGTGGGAAAGTATAGAGACGAGACCTTTAATCAGAATTAAGCAGGAACAGTCATTTCGCTTCGGCATTTAAAAACATGAACAGCGATCACACGCAGTGTTTTAATAACACTGGGCACCTCGTTAGATCAATTGAATAGTATTTTTTTTGTTAAAAAGGGAGCTATGTTTGTTTACGGACAGGGACAGAATAAGTAGTGGAAAATTATAATTTGTGAAAGGTCAAGAATGACTCTAGAAACCCAAGTGTGTACTTGAATGCAGCATCTTCAGAAAACCTACACGTATGCAAGAAAATTCTGTGTTCTTGGCAAGTATGCAGAAGAAAGTATGTACTTGGTCAAGCATGCAGGAGGTAGTTTGTACTCAAGTACACACTTGAGTTTCCAGAGGATATAACGCCTCCTATCTGGTGAAACTATAACATTATCTATACAAATGTTTTGCTTTACGATAGTACCTACCCGCATAATTTTTGTATTTTTTTTCCTGAAACTACTATCCTATTTTCCCTGCTTGATCTATGGGCTGCACCCCAACTGACCCCTCTCTGCAGCCCCCTGCAAAACCAAAGGTGAAGGCGGGTACAGTCACTTACCATAAAACCGACGCTGAAGCTCTTCATTGTGGTACTCCTCTGGGGATGCACTGCACTCACTGTCTCACTCTCTGCTCTCGCGCACTCTCGCACTCACTCACTCTTTCACTCACTCGACACTTTTCGTTGCTGCCTGGTGGCCAGTCCGAGTCAGACTGCGAGACGCGGCGAGTGCTGAGCGGAGCACGCCGGGCGGGGCGGAGGGAGCGGGGCGCGGGGCCGGGTGGGGAGGACAGGGATGGGAGGTCTGGGCTGGCGGGCTGCTGGGCCGTGTGACGGACAAGGTACGACTAACCTCAAACCTGGGGGAGCTCGATGCTTTATAGAAGATAAGGCTAGGCGGTATCGGAGAGGCTGCCCGGCGTTCTGCAGCGTGTCGTGGCGTGGCGTGGAAGAAGGAAGAAGAGGAGAGGGGGACGGACGCGCAGCAGGGATTCCGTAGCACTCCCATCTCCCCTCAGCAGGTGCTGTCATCGTTGTCATTCGTCACACTGTAAAAGAAAGTATACATTTTTGTACATATAAAGAAAAATATTTTTAAAAAGATGTATGCATAAACTATTTTGCAGACCTCTAAGGAGAAAGTGAAGAGGAGTTTAGAAAGCTAGATACAAGTAGTTTGTCAGTACTCAAATTCAAAGTTTGCATCTTCATGACGCACTGACAGGTGCGTGTTGGAACAAAGTCCCTTTGTCATTTGGGGTGCGTAACGGGCCCCGGTAGTATTGTTTCCAAAGGTCGAGAACGCAGAGGTTTTGGTGGGTACACAGCGCACGTATGTTAATTTAGGATGTAAATAGAAGCCCTTTTTATTTCTTGAGTAAACGAATTCTTTGTAGGCGCAATTAGTACTTTCATGGGCAAAACCAGTTGTCACTGCACAGAAAATACTTTTTTCTACCTGTTTTAGTTTACTGTTTCGGGAAATACAAAGCAGATAAAAGGCTCCGTTGGCTGTGAAGCAATAGTTCTTATCCTCAGAATGCATTTAAAAAAATATTTCATCGTGTTCTGCAAAATGATTCGTCTGCACTAACCACCATATCCTGTCCCCACATCCCGAGCTCCCATCCCAGCCGACCGGATCTGCCCCCGGGGGATCATGTCATCACATTATAGCTCCTTACGGCAAACCTTATGGCTCCCGGTTTACTGTCGTGGAGTGAGACGTCTCCCCGTTTGCCACGCGGTGCGGAGTCAGTCGCATCACCGCCAACAGCTAAAGTTCTTATTTCCATTTGTTTTTTCTCACGCAAAGCGATCAGTAAAGGGAGAAAAAATGGTCGGCTTCGCAGAGCACCGCAAATAGTCGGCGATGCATCCTCATGACTGACGGCACACGGGACTGGCACCACAATGGTGTCGGTGCAGCTGTGTGCGGCTGGCTTGCCTAACCCCCGGGTGCCTCCAGGAAATGGCTGAACACCGTTCTCCTTTTTTTCCCACCCCGTTTATCTTTCAATTTTATAAACTAACTTTATAAGCTTGGCTGTCTAGTGCACTTTATCCTCTAAAGCTCTAGACTTGGCCGTACTCCCGTACAGCAGCAGACGCGGGTGCGGGTACAGCAGCGATGTACATGTGCGTGCGTGTGTGTGTGTGTGTGTGTGTGTGTGTGTGTGTGCCGTCTGTCCGACTGTATGGGCATAGGGCGCGCGCGCAATCCCCCATCATGTAATTCGAGTCGTGAAAAACGACCCCATCGATTATTAGGCTCGATAGTCTCGAATCGCAGCGCGCGGGAACAAACGGTCCGCGTCGTCATGAGAGCGGCCGCCTGGGCAGCGGCGGGGCAGCCACGGCCGCCCCATCCCCGCCCCGCCCCGCCCCGCTGGATGCGCCCGCTGGTGCGGGGCCTGTTTAATTATCGGTCGCAGAGCCGCGTATCTCTTCCCCAGGACGGCCCAGTTGCGGCGCGAGCGCCAAGGAGGCGCCACCGCGGTGTGTTATTTTTTGATAAATCGCACAGGGTGGCGGCGGCGGCGAGCCGGGTCTCTCTCTCTTCTTGGCTCGCCGCAACTCGTGCACCTCTAGGCTGCTGCGGCTCGCCCGATCCCATAGCCACGCTGCTGCTGCTGC